ACCGCTACGAAATTCCGCGGGTTGCATCCAGCGTATTTGAAGGGGTTTTTTTGTCCGCTTCGCTTCGCATTGCTTCGCTTCGCCTTTGAAAATCGCCGCTTCGCGGACCCCTACTTTTTGAGCATTAGCGGAAAATGTTTTCAATTTAGCAGAGGCCTAAAAGAAAAAATTCAGACTATTTCAACCTGGTTTATTCACCAAGTATTCATCCATAAATCTTAATAATTTCTGCAGGATTACTTTTAGGATTTAGACTCTTGACTAGTGGACTATGAGAGACAAGAGGTGCAAAAGAAATAAATTAAAGAAGGAGAAACAGGGTCAGAAAAATTTAAATTTCAGAAAAAAACTCTTAGTGGCGTGGGTCCCTAGGTGCAAGGCAGATATGCAGAGTCCTAATATTTTTGTTCAAACCATTTAACTTTGTAGTTAGTTACTTGGATGGCTCTTTTTTCTTCTTTTTTTGTTGAGACTCAATTCTGTTAGCATGTACTGTGAGGCACCAAGAAATGCTAAGAAACAATGAAAGAAAGAAGATGAAAAACAACACTATGCTATAAAGAGGAAACAAATAAAAAAATGACTCTTGACTTACCTAGACCATATTCTACTTTGCTCATCAATTTCTTCTATTTGACGTTGTGTTGTTGCTTCTTCATTGTCTTCTTCTATAATTTTCGTTGAAAGAAGCTCTTCTTGCTGAATTTCACGCTGGAATCGTTCCAGCTCCTCTTCTATGGGGTCCTTGTACTCTACATTACGTGCCTAGAAATGAAGAACAGAAGTTTAAGAATCAGATTTTAGGCATGAGCAAAAATGTTATCTCTCAGTTTTTTAAAAATTATGATCACAGATTTTACGAATATTTGGGAGTCAACATACTGACTCGACTGTGGACCCTCAACCTGGAGGGCAAGCCTTTGGTTATAGAGTTCTTTCTCCTGGACAGGCTATTTCTGTGAACTAAGTGCTGTGCCTGCCCTACCTGTTTGGCTTGCTGGTAAGAAGTTACCTACCCATTATATTCAGGGCTTCCCTTATCCATCACTCTGGAGACCTGTTCTCTAAAGATCATAGGCTCCTTTGAGACCTTAAATGAAAGAATTTGGAAGTTAAAAGTACTTGATAACGTGCATAACATAAGTCCAGTCAGTAAGTGTAGTATGGGCATGTGTAAAGAGTGTCTGAGTAGAGGTTGCTCAAACGAGTTATGGATTGGTTTACTTTTGAAAAAAAGCAGCAGGGGTGTCCTCTGAACACCACGCTAGGCGTCAACAAAGATATCCAGAGATGTCGGTCGCCCAACGATCTTTGGGAAGACAGGCACAAATAACGTTTTGGTGTTGCAGCGCCTGACAGTGTGCTGAAGGAGCAAGGCGTTTATTTAGTTGTCAAAAATTCCAAACTGGAGGAATTTGAAAAAAAAATAAAAAGCCCACCTTAGCATCTGCAACAGGATCATCAAAAAAGCCTTCAGGTAGTGTTTCAGGTTCTCCTTTTTCATTTACACTGTCTGAATCGATGTCCATCATTTTATCTTGATTTGCAGATGGTGTACCATTGGTTACAGGTATGTTGTTAACGCTAACTTTACTACTTGATGAATTCATGTCAAAGAAATCTGTGGGTAAGGATGCTGAGGCCGCTGGTTTTGGAGCATTTTTTAGGATGCCTGAAAAGAAAAGAAAAAAATGAATTTAATTCATTAAAAGTAATTTACACACTTTTACAGCAAGATAGAAAATGTGACATCTAAGTTTTGGATGAAAACTGAAAGAAGAAACAAAGTTTCCAGAATTTCTTGAATTTCCAATCCCCTGACTTTTTTTGCTTTTCTCTTACTCCAAAATTTCCAAATTCCTTAACTTTCCATGACCATTGAACTAAACTTCCTCTGACATTTCTTTTTCCTAAAGTACACAGACTTTACTTTACTGTAGAAAGTATGCTCACTAAAGTATATAATTTTACATTCTGGAAAAATGAACTTTTTCCCACTTCCTTGAAGGTTGCTGAAAGTCGATGACTTTTCCAGGTCTTTGTGCATTAATACAAACTGATTGTGGTTCGACCGACTAGCTGTTGAAACCATCAATTACTATCATTCTGTCCCTTGGTACCTACGTTCCCTGACTTTCCAGGTTTCCAAGACTGCCGGTAACCCTGAAGAATCAAGATGGCAGAGTGACTGTTTTTTCTCTGTCTCTCCTTCTTTCTTCTCACAGAATGATCCTTATACAGAGAAGAATTGTGAAGGTTTTCAAAGAAGGTTGCGGTGCAAATTTTTATTTTAAATCTAAAGCAGGACAAGAATTTTGCAGATTACAAAACCAAGATGCCAGTTCTTCTTGTTTCATCGCCTACATGATTTTTTGTCTTAAGCATTGCAGGATAAGTTTAGGCACAAAATTAATGCGCATTAATTTATATAACCTGAAAGCATCATGCCCTCGCAAGGAAAGATTATCAGGCCAATGATCTTTTCACAAAACAATATAGATTAGGTACCTTTAATTTTCTTGGGAGGATGGTCTGGCATTCCAGGCAAAGGTCGTTTCAGTGGGTTTGACACCATCTCACTATTAAGGCGAAGCCCTCTGTTCGTGTCCGTTGTACTACTTCCAATGCCGGCAAGTTGCTGTTTCTTCTTTGCAATGTTGCCACGGTGCTCCTTCCCATTGATGTGGACACTCCAGACATTTTCACTTCTTACGACTGAGTTGCACAGAATGCATGTCAGAGTTCCATCATTAGAATATGTGCAGAGGCGTTAAGGAAACCAGTCCAAAAATAGAAAATTTAATCATTACAGGAAACCAAGAGCTAAGGGAATCAACTGTCTGATGGATTTCGGATGGTATGGGAACAGAAGCTCGAAACGGTTGAAAAGACCCAATTTTGTAACTGAACCTAAATGGTATAATTTTTCTCTTTTAAAGGATTTTTAATTCAAAACTAAAGTCAATTGCAAATTCTTTTGATGGATTTACCTTGAATTTAAATGAATTTTTCCTGCCTACACTTGAAGGACTGTTTTGCAGCGTCTTTTATTTCATAGAAAAGTTTCATTTTTCAGAGTTGAGTGAGTTTGAAACTCTAGGATCTATTAAAAAACCTACAGGTGTAAAAAAAATTTGTTGATACGCTATTAGTATGGCTTCTTCTAGAATAAAAAATCTCTCGATGAGGGTACTCTTGTCTGGTGCAAACAGTCCCTTGCACTAATAGAACTACTTGAGTTCCAAGGCAAAGGAAGGTTGCCCTACTTGTCTGGCCTGTGTCCGGTAGGTTGTTTCACTTAAAAAACTAATAAAGATGGCAAACGCTGATTCACGCCAACTCCAAAAACTTTGGTCAGAGTCCTCTCAAGGTCCCTGTGATCCATATCAGAACTCTTTCGGTAGATTAACAAAAATTAATTGGACACCTTTACCTTACAAAGGCTTTCCCTTAAATGGTGAAATCAACTCTTTTTCGAGCTCAGAGCTGAATTCAAAGTTGGTTATATAGTCCTGGAATTACACGTCTCAATAGGAGTATAATGCCAAGTTATCGGCAGCTTCATGAGTAAAGAGCAACACTGTATTGCAAGGTGGGTAAATCTTAAATGACAGCGCCTCCGTAGATTGCAATGTTTTGGTTAGATTTGGTTAGACCTCTTATACAGTATCTCTGACCTTACAATGATGGTAAAAGGAATAGCTAAAAGATGAAGAAGATATTGTGATATGATAGAGAGTGTGATAAAAGGATATTTGGCAAGAGGTGAGTCGATCTTCCTTTTCGTTCCGGTTGAAACTTTTTTCATAAGTTGTCGAAGTTCTTCTTGAGAAATTTTTCGCTTGCTCATGATTGTAACGGTGACACAACACTGTCAGTTGACTGAACACTTTAAAGCAGTAGAACTTCGAGAACTTAGAGATGCAAACATAAAATACTGTCAGTGAACTTTATTAAATTAACTTGAACTTCTTTGACACAATAGCACACCACAAAATAACCATAGAGTACAATAGAGTCGCAAAGTACTGGATCGCCGATGAAGTCACTTTTCGAGGCTGTTTTGTCCAGTTCTCCGGAGACTAGTGTGCGGCGATGTTTACTTTTTGCAGGCAAAGACCCCCTCGGAATGAGCAGGCAAGATGGCTGCGTGGCGCGACGGGAACTCAGAGCAGTTCGAGCACTCTCTAACCAATACCTACTCTAACCCATCCTATCGTCTATGCCGTCTCCCCACCTTATCTATCCAAATAATCATGTTTCCAATAATGTAAAATGAATCAGTGAGTTCGGAAACACTCCAACACGGGTTTTTTTTCGATTTTCACTTTTTTGCGGTTTAGTTACACTTCTGGATAAGTAGAAGCATCTGCACGCAAAAGGATATTTCGAAATTGCAATCGGAAGTGCTCGAAACGGCGACGGGAAAAGGGAAGAATCGAAGAATTTCATTGGAAATACCAATTTTTGGCCGATCAAGGGAATCGGGTGACTATCCGATGCTGTTTTCTTTTTTCGGTTCAGTATACCTTGTGCCAACAAGTTATATAAATATTCAAGCGTTATTCAGGTCAAAAAATATAAATTTTTCAGGGCAGACTATGAAAAATCAGTATCTGAAACTTGGTGCGTTAAAGTCTCTAGAGTACTTCGAAGTACTCTAGAGACGCAAGATCTTGCGTCCTTTGGCACCAAAAAAGTTTTTCTTAAACTAACTTCTTCGCCCGCTGCGAAGTTTTAGGTGTTTCCTGAAATTTTTTTTTTTCGAGTTGGTGTATTTTCGAACTCACTGATTCAAATGTCATCTTAGGTACCTAATGCTATATTTATGCTCCCATATTTCACCCCTTGATGCCTGACTGGTAAAATTCACCACTTTTTGGATCGTTATGTACTTTTGTAGGTATAAGTTATCAAAAGCAGAAATGTGCAAAGATATTTTTTTAGCAAATTTTTCAAGGAATATGCTAAGTGCCTCGTTACCTTTAACAGGATGTTTCCCAGAAGTTGTACCATTGTGCCACAAAAAAAAAATTATAAATTTGTGCGAATGCTGAGTTAAATTTTTAGCTTGATGGTTCATCTTCACATGTAAATATTTTTGGTAGAATTACAAATTCCACAATGAAAGTCTAGCAACACAGCTAACTTAGCAAAAGCCCTCATATTTCTCGAAGTCAGGAGAGGGTAATATTTCTCCCCCCTCCCCCTAACTAGTTCCCCCAATGCTCCTGAAAACATCTCTGCTGAGCGCAAAAATCCTCAAACTCATCCCTCATCATCTGGCGTCCCCATGGCTCAGATATAAATGAAGCCCCTCCCCCCCTTATTTTCCATCAAAATTCAAAATGTAAGTAGGTACGTTTAGAATTTGATTTCAATGCCTCAGAACGCTGCGGGGCCCCCACACAAGCTTGTGCCAGATATGCTAAAGATTTTCCCTCCTTAGGTAATCCTTAAATTATATCAGAAAAATGTCTTGCCAAAGAATTTTGAGAATTACCCTGGTTAGTACTTGGTTTGAACTCTTTTAGAAATTTAATCCCGATCAAAAAGGTCAATTCCCTGAGCTGAGCAGTTTAATTTTTCTCCGAGAGTGAAATTTGTGCTTGGCGCCATTATGTGATGTGCAAAGAGTAGAGGAGAGGAGAGAGCAACAGAGTATAATCATGGAGTCCGAGCGAGCTTCATGCACGCTCCACCAGCTACTCCCGCTCTGTGATCGCCTGCTCATTCGTAGGGGGTCTTTGCCTGCAAAAACGCTCAATCATACGCAGAGACTCGCGCTCAGCGCTCCCCACTCCCGACAGTCCCGACTCGGCTCCGTTCGTCGGCTAGACACACACTGAACCAGCTAAAATAAGTAGGCCGGTAATAAGTCTGAAATTGAGTCCATATATGAATATTATCTCGGAGTAACATACATTAATGGATTCATTATGGCTTTGAATATCTATTTCAAGCAAAATTTGCACAAATTAATACCGATGGAATTAAAAAAAGTCGAAAAAACACAAGCAGTTGTTGATTTCTCCTTAAGCCACCGTGTAAAAAAATGCCGGTTGGTTCACACTTGGTATAAGTCAGAAATTAAATTCCTATATGAATTTTATCCAGGAGTAATATACATCAATGGATTCATTATGACTTTGACTATCTAATTATAGCAAAATTTGCACAAATTAATATCGATGGAATTAAAAAATGTCGAAAAAACACGGGCAGTCGTTGCTTTTCCCGTAAGCCGCCGTGATAAGAAATGCCGGTTGGTTCACACTTGGTATAAGTCAGAAATTAAATCCCAATATGAATATTATCCAGGAGTAATATACATCAATGGATTCATTATGGCTTTGACTACCTTTAAATAGCAAAATTAGCAAAAATTAATGCTGATTGAATTATAAAATACCTAAAAAACACAAGCAGTTCTTGATTTCTCCATAAGCCGCCGTGTTACAAAATGCCGTTGGGTTCGCAAATGGTTCACTATTTTCGGAGCACACGCGGCTCGGAAACGCCTGTTCATGGATTGGCTTCATCGCCGCTCCAGTACTTTGCGACTCTATTGTACTCTATGAAAATAACAAACATTTTAATAACCTAACTTTTCGGACCAAGGAGTATGTGAGATACAAAAAAGTGTTGCTTACTTTTCTCCTGGCGGGAAATACCAAGTCGGCTGTGATTCGCTAATTTGCTGACTGCATTTATTTTTTGCTGAAAATTGGCAAAAAAAAGTTAGAAGTCTTGGTCTTACTCCAGTTTTTCGATTTTTTTTTTACTTCAAAATATTCATGACGAATGTCCTTTTATCGTTGGATGAGAACTACACCTGCTTTTTTTATTCTGATTTTCGAATCTCATTTCTGCTTTTGAATTTTGAATGAATGGGTCTAAAAAATGGGCGCGGGAACTACTCACCAATCAGAGATGGTTACGATACAGAAGTTTCCCGACGCGAACACGAGTGCAGCTGGTGCAGCACTCATTACACTCTATGAAATTTGTCAACAAACTTCTAACCTCAAATGTTTTGACAGCCGTTATTTTTGTTCTTCCAAGCACGTTTTCACAGCAAAGATTTTAGTGATATTGCCAGTTTTTCAGAGCTCAAACTCTCGATCATCAATTTTAAGTTTATTAGTGACTCATCAGTATGTCTGGTCGCGAAGGAGGAAAGAAAAAACCGTTGAAGGCACCGAAAAAAGGTCCCAAAGAGATGGACGACGACGAGATCGCGCTGAAACAAAAGCAGAAAGAGACCCAAAAGGCTCTGCAAGAAGCCAAAGCCAAGGCAGCACAGAAAGGACCCCTCGTAGGTGGCGGTATAAAGAAATCCGGAAAGAAGTAATCTCAGGTTGTACATAGAACATTCTCCTCGAAGACTGCATCATGCCTGCGGTGCATCGGAAGACGATGAAACATGTGGACGAACTCTCTTACGTGGTGCAGGAAAATCTACCTAATTTGCGCTAATCGCCCTTGGAGACCTACAAATGTAAATGCCTCAATCAGGTTGGTCATAACTTAATTGTATTTCTTTGATGTAATTGTTGATGTTACATCCTGAATCCACTATACTTTTTCACATCATGTACCTTCGCCCAGTGTAATTTTGTAACGTATAAAATAAATGTTTAATAATTGTATTCGTCTTCTGATTAATAATGAGCATCACTTGTACAACGTTTCCTTTAGTAGGATAAATAACATGGAGAGTACCTAGATTGGGAGAGTTGGAACAGGTCTATAGTTTCGAATATCTATTACACCTACATTGATGCCTCTGCGAACGAATTTAGGGGCGATAAGGGCAGTCAACCTATGATTACCAATAACCTGTTCTCATTACCAGCAAATTCTTGTTTTCAATGAAAGCTTAAATGCAAATTAATATAGTGTTTAATGCTTTCGATCAATTTTGATGTATGGGGTCTGTTTAGATTATGCTCTGGGTCAATTTTTGAAACAATTAAATTTCAATTCTGATTGCGGCCAGCATAGCCAGTGGCCAGTCTATATCTCTGTGAATGTGAAGATTGAAAACAGCTTCGGTCCTTCATTTTGTGTGGTGAGGTTGGCTGCCCTAATGGTTTTTATGAACCGATGTGTTCATACTCTTCCAATCTAGGTATTCTATTACAGTGGCAATCGGATATTACAACATTGCTGATAACAACATATCGGTCCTAACAACATGCAATTTGGTCGTACCTATGATTGACTTCCCGGTGACTCAGTGTATTTGTGCATCAGTTAAAACGACAATCGGATATAACGACCAAATCAGGCCGGTCCCTAGAGGTTTGTTGTCTGATTTCCACTGTAATGTTAAGCTTGAGTTCTTGCCAAACACATACAGATGGCTGTAGGCGGTCCACGAACAGGAACATGCCCTCAGTTAATCACCGAATGGAAGTAGTCCTTTAAGTTGTGTTAAAAATGTTCACAAAAATTTTTTGGCTGACTTTTTGCCTTCAAGTAATGGATAATATGCCTAAGTACCAAAAGTGGGACTTTGAGCATAGCTGTGGTAACCCCTTGCTTTACAATGGATAGACTCCTTTTACATAACCACTGACAAGAATTTTTAGTACATGTTGGTCATTTCAGATAATTTTGATATTTTTTAAACACACCTTCAGTTGCAAGTTCGAGCAGCTGATATTGCTGAATCAATGTAGATAGGATTAACGCTATACTACGATGAAATAGAGAGCTCATAAATAAAGTACAAATTAAGTTCAGTTGCTGAAAACACTTGATGTGTATTTTACTTTCAGCTGCTGAATATCCAAAGAGCCGGCTTATTAAATTTATTACAAATTAGAGCCACTCTAAATTCTTTATTCTTCACTGGAAAAAAAAAAACACATTGGATCTAGAGTCCAGACTCTTAAAAACATTGTAAAGAAAAAATACTCTTGATTCAATCAGATTTAAGCTTAAATCAAGAACCAAGCCTCTTAATTTGAGCGGATTTCCTTTTGATTTAAGCTTAAATCTGATTGAATCAAGAGTTCTTTTTTTTGTCAATGTTCTAAAGAGTTTGGACTCTAGATCCAATCTGTTTTTTTTTTTTTTTCAGTGTTAGCCATCAAGCTCTAGAAGCGCCGAAAATGTCAACCAAAAATATGTCGGCGGTGTAAGTCCGCAATCACATATCTCGTTTGCGGTGTCTGAAAATCTCCGCCTCTATGTTATTTTTTTAATGGAGAACAAATTGACATAATTACTTGAAGTTTTTGCAGAATTTTCTTTGGACAGAGAAGTAAAATCTTGGCAGTTTTTAAGAATTGCCATTGAGTAGTTTTCCGTTTAAAAAATAAAGTATGACAGGAAGTCTGCAACGTCGTAAACCGAGTATGTGATTGCCAACTTACACCGTCGATATTCACTTACTTTGCCTAATTTTAAAAATTATCGGGATCGCGCATTGCACAAATGTGCGATGCGGCAGCACTAAAACTTCGTTTAAAAATCTAAAACTTGGCCAAAAAAGTTTGCTAACCAAATGGAACACTTTTTTAACCAGAAAACTTAACTTTTCGAGGGTAGACTTTTTTTGAGACACCCTACTATACCTATATAGAGCGGAGGATGCATAGAGAGTCCACGCCTTGCGCCATCGCGTCTTCAATTTTTATTGTCTAAAAACATAGGAAAATTTCAGATAATATACTCAATAAGACTCGGGCGCTAAAGCATTGACTAAAGGCTAGTAAGTACGTCAAGAACAAGTATTACCCCTCAGCAACAAGTTTTACAAAAATCGATCGAACAGGAGCCGCATATCGTAGGATTAGTAGGAAGCGACTATACAGCAGTAACGGTACCAGTCAATTTGCACAAGTCAGTGCGCCTTCACTTTCGTCTGATACTGTGCAATACTTCGGTGGCGGAATAGTTGCTCAGAGCGCCTTCGAGGTATCACGTAGACTTGACGACAGAAGATTACAATTGCCGCCAGCTGACATAACACTCTAGCGCGTGCCCAGTTACCCAAGTACTTAGCATTTTTCAACGGAAAAATCGCGATTTGTTACGATTTTGTCGGGGATAAAATCGCCAAGATCGTCAACATCTGAGCGATTATCCTCGATCTTGTTGCAATAAAATTGCGATTTTATCGCCCGACAATGTATCGCAATATTATCGCAACAAAAATCGCGATGTATGGCGATTTGATATCGATTTTATCGACGAAAATTGATTGCGATTTTATTGAAAAAAAAAAAAATTACGATGCATAGCGATTTAATCGCCATAAATCGAATTTTTTTATTTGATAATATTGCGATAAATTGCCACCGATATAATCGCGATAATCAACCGATAAAATCGCTATTCATCGCGATCACTGCTACTTATGATTAAGTGCAAATTTTCTCATTACCGACGGTGAGGTACAAATCATTTATACCTCAATTTCCGACGTTGCGACTTTTTCTTTGCTCATATTCAATTATTTAAGAACAAAATCTTGTGACATTAGTTTTAAGATTAGCTTTAAGATCATATTAACATCAATGTAATTAATGCCCCGTAAGGGGCAGTTGTACAATTTTATTTTAATAAATAAAAAAAAAAATATTCAAGGTGGAAAAACCAATACGAACAATTTCAAATGTTCCGATATTTTTCCTAGGTACCTAATAAAAAATATCATTATAATGTTTCATTCAAGTCTATTTGTATGTTTTCGTTACAAAAAGGGAATAGAAGTATGAGAATGAATTTTTGAACGAATGAAAGCGGACCCGAAATCTATAGCACTTGAAGTAAACGGGCTAAAGCGCCAAAATAAACTGATTTCCGCCGTCTCGGAATTTTGAATTTCGAAAATTTGAGTTGAAATTCAAGATTCCCGGCAATACATACCACCTTGTACCAAATTTCAAAAAAATCGATTGAGCTAGCTGAAGCCACATCGCAGGATCAGCAGGACTGTACAAATTTGCATACTTTGGCGCGCCTTCATTTTCAGCTGATACTGTGCAACACTGCGGTGGCGAAATAGTTGCTCAGAGCGCCTTCCATAATAGAGTGTCGTTTCAACTTGATTGCAGAAGATCACGATTTTCTATGGAATTTCACTCTAACGCTTGCATAGGTCTTGACACATTTTCTCATCAATGACAAACACTCATACCTCAATTTGCGTCGTTGCAAGTTTTTTGCTGGCCATTTTAAGTATGCGTAAGCCAACATGATCATTTTAATACCTGCCGATATCTGTCCGAGGTATGATAAAAAAATATTATTTTAATATGTTTCATTCAAGTCTATTTGTATTCTTTCGTTAAAGTGGGAGAAGCAAGTACGAGAGCTGCCAACGAACAAGAGCGAATCTTTCTTTTGGAGAGTTTTGGAGGAGGAGGGAATTTTTTGACGACCACCCCTAAAATTCCCTAGTTGAGTCAAATTGGTCCCGCGACAATCTCTGCTGGGGGAGTTACAAATGGGCGGAGAGGGAAGGGGATGAGAAAGCCCCAGTATGTCACCAAGGAGGTGAACTTTTTATTTTGAAGAAAGTATTTCTTACCTTCGGAAACATAGAAATAACATACGTGATACTTTAAAAATTATCAAAATCAATGCATTTCAATACGGGTAAAGATCCGACTTGAGACTTTCCTAGTATACCAAAAGCCTCGGGCGTCTAAGGGTTAATTATGATGAAAGTAGAGAAAAAGCGTGTAGCATCGTAAACTGAAAATGGATATTTTTGACTCCAAAAAATGTTTTTTCACCATACTGAAGCGTCTGCTCAGTTTATACTGCAAGTAGCATTCGAACCTCATTTTGCAATAGGGAACCACCATTCCTAGTTCATCCATAAGATCACATATATTCACCAGGACACTAATATCACATATCGTCACGTTCCGGCCCAAAGATCGCAAGTGCCATGCGACTTTTGAAAATTTTCGCTGCAATTTTATTGTTTTAGAGGGAAATTGTTCCACGAAAATGTCCGAAAATTTCACTTAATTTTCTTTGTGCTGCCGAAAAAAATAATACGGTGAAATTTTCATTCAGATTCAACCAAAAATTTCTCTGTAAAAAAATAAAAAGCCGACGGAAATTTTTAAACGTTGCATGGCGCTTGTGGTAATTTGGCCGGGAGGTGACGTTGTTTCTAAGATAGAACCAATATAAATAGTGATTGATCGAAAAAAGGCAAAATGTAGTACATCTTTGGACGGAAGGTGACTTCGTTTCTAAAATGGAACCAATATAAACAGTGATTGATCGCAAAAAAGGCAAAACTGTAGTACATTTTCAGGGTGTCTACAAGTCCGGAGATAGTACTTATTTTTTAAGATCTGTCCGGAAGTACTGAAAAAGTGTGGAAATTCCGCAAGAAGGTCCGGAATTTTTTCATTTTTTGACATTTTTTTCGCAATTTAAGGGAAAATTTTTAACATTTTTCGAATTTTGTCAATTAAAGAAACTGAAAAAGTACTAAAATTTCTGGTGTGATGGTACTGAATTTCTCGGGAATGTACCGAAAAAGTACTGGACACTGGAAAAAAAAACACATTGGATCTAGAGTCCAGACTCTTGAAAACATTGACAAGAAAAAATACTCATGATTCAATCAGATTTTAGTTTAAATCAAAAAGAATCCGCTCTAATTAAGAGG